CCGTGGGCTCCCGCCCCCCCGGGGCTCCGGCCGGTGCCATCCCGGCTGAGGCGTGGGCAGCCAGGCCTGGCAGCTCCGGGTCTTGTCCCTCTGGGTCTCTCGGGGCCCATCTTCCCGGGTGCGGGCTGAAAGGGGGCAGCGGGTGAACGAGCGAGAGTATTCCCGAGCCCAGGCTTGCGGGCGTCAGTCTGACTTGCTCTGCTTTCACTGTGTTTATTGTGTTGTCCCTTCACGGCAGAAGGTTAGGCTCCTGTACGGAGTATTTTATGCCGCCCTGCTTGCTGTCAGAGTACTTGGGGGAGGCTTTTAGATTCTCTTTTTAACTAGTCCAGTATTCTCATTATTTTTTAATTTGTAATTGTGATGGAAGGGGGGGGAAGAACCGTACGTAGTAAACTTTCTGCTTCCATCGCTAGCGTCTGAGTGCTTTCTCAGTAGGCAGAAATAGACACAAGCTTGTTCATGTTTTCCCTTGTAGCCCACAGAAGAAACACTGTATGGGTATTTGTGAAATAACTTCTAACTTACCTGTGTTAATCAAGATATTTATCATAACAGAAATGTAACATCTTAACAGACAGGAAAAGCAGAGGCTTCCTGGTGACAGCTTGTTTGTATATGGTTGTCTTTAATCAACAATTTGAATAATTCCACTGTTTTGTTGGCTAGGAATTCAGCCTCCTTGTCTCTTGCATGCATTATGTGATTTTCAGTTGATCCCACAAGTTTCCAGGACAAACAATTCAATTTTCTATTGAAAATTACCTGTTACAAAGAAAATGCGGAAAATAACCTTTGAAAATTAACTTTGCTGTGTTAAGATGTTATTTTGCTGACTCAATGACAACAGAAATGCAGGAACCTGTGTAAATGAATTTTTCCAGTACTTCAAAGTATATTTTACAGTTATGTGCAACATCTGCTTGCTTCTTTTTGCTGTGCTCTCTCTCTTTTTTTTTTTTTTTTTTGGTTCCTATCCTTTATATTTACTTTTTTGGTTTTTTAGGTTAAATTGAATATTTGCGCAACACAGCTTCTTGCAGAAGGACCACCACACTGTTCTACAGTTAGGAGAATATGAGAATAAGCAAGGAGTGTTGCTCTCTCTGAACTTAAAAAAAAAAAAGTCTGTGCCTTGCTGAGGACAGCTGCAGGAATCGGACACTTGAATCAATGTTATCGGATGAGTTAGAATCCAAACCTGAGGTGAGCAATTATGAACTGGGTTTGGTTCCCATGAACACCGATGGGCAACATTTAGAAAAGTTAAATGAGTTTATTCAGTTTGCTGCTTAGATATTAACTCTAAAAATGTTTTCACTGGCATCTTCTAATGATTCCATGTTTTGATTTGAATGGTAAAAGACTAAAGAATATTGCAGGGTTTTTTTCTCTCCTTTCAAGTGTTAGCCAAAAGTCTTGCCTGTTCCCAGGTTACATTATTTTTTCACTATTATAATGTTTGTTCTTTACAAGAATAAAATAAATTACTGTATTGACTACTTATTTCCCTCAAACCAAATTGACTTCACTCAGTTTTGGGGAGTCTAGATTACTCTATTAGCATCAGCCAGTTCTGTTTTTTACAGTACTTGTGTTTCCATTAAGCAGTTGGCAGAAGCAGTAGGCAGCAGCACCCAGGGGATCCTGGTTGCTCGGTGTGAGGCTGCTGGATGGTTCTCAGATTCAGCTGGTAGCACGGCTGAGCATGAATTGCAGTGATGTATATGTGCACACAAGTGCCCATAGTGCACGCGCAGCTGGCCACAAACGTATTCACACATACACAGGTAAAGCACCTTTAAGGGGTAAACACCAACAGCACGAACAACACAAAAGTTTGTTAGTGGAATGTATCTGTACCCTCACTTAACTTTCATGCATACTCACATTCGCAGATGTCTCCGGTCTCTGCCAGGTCTGAAGTCTTTCCAGTATCTGTGCGCAGACCTAGGGCTTTTTAACCAGTTTCTGGATGGAATCTTGGGGTTTTTCAGGCTGTGGTTGCCTCCTTCTCACATGTTAGTAGATTAGAAGTTCACTAGCATTCACTCGCTTGTGGGGAGAATATTTAGAAATATGTTTAGTAAGTAGACAGAAGCAACTGCAGTTATCAGACACAGCAGTGTACCCGGCCAGCTGACATAGGATTGGAGTCTCTTCTCCCCCATTACCCATGGTTCTTTCTCCACTTGCCCACCTTGATTCCTCCTTTGATCCACCCCCTAAACTTTAAGTTTTACACATCCTGCAGCCCCTGTTACATTGGATAATAAGTTTGGTCTTTCCTATGAGACCCATTCAGATAATCCAAGATTATTCTCTTTCCAGTTAAAAAAAGTTCCGGTTAAAGCTCTTCAAGATTTCACTTCAGTAGCGGCCCATTGATAGTGCCTGAGGAGTTCTGGTCTTTGTTACTCTTACCTATAATTTGCTAGATACAACAGTCTGCAGTTTGTTATGTTGAACACAATTGTAACACTGTGTTCAATTTATTACCTGTTCTGTTTTTTGCCTTAATTATTTTAGGCTGAATAGCAATAGTGCAGAGGACTGTATCACTTTGTGTCCTTGCTTTTCTGAGTCTGAGCTTTACCTCTTCAGAAAGCTAAGGTTCTAGAGCAGAGGACTTAGTAGTGCTATTAAGTACCTTGTGGGGAAGTTCACAGGTGTAAATAGAATTGTTTTTATTGAGTCTTCTGTTTCTATCCTTTTTCAATCCGTATGCAATACAGCAGGTATCTTAAACTGGTATTCCAAAGAGAATTATGATGGTATGCTGGTAATTCATCATAGGCCAGGTGATGTGGTAAGGTATTTGTTTTTTAATGGAGTAGCCAAAGTCCTTCCAATTACACTATTCAGGTGAAGTAGCTGCGAATTCATAGTAACCCTGTGAGTTACTGCACATGGGCTGCAAGGAGTTTTTTTCTCTTGCCTTGTGGTTGATATCTCATAACTGCAATCAAATTTTCTCACAGTTCTCAATGGTAAGGTGGGGGACTTTGTTACTTCAGTCTGTGAGCGGGTGGATTCCCATAGATTATTTCTGACAGGGACCAGGATAGTTGGAATGCTTGTTCCCTCATTCCTCAAACAGGAGCTATAAGTGGGCCTTGTCTTTTCCTCGCTGCAGTAAGGTATTTGTTAGTTAGGCCTGTTTACTTAATAGTTCTGTTTCCCCATAGCAGAGTTGCATTTCCTTCCCAGCAAACCTGGAACAGAGTAGGCCATTATCCAGTAGGAACAGGCCTGTTGCATAGAGCATCCTTTCCACAGATACCTTCTTCTAAACCCTGTTCCTTAACTTGGATCAAGGCCATTTTATACTACAAATTTGGATTCATTCACATCGTGGATTACCAAATCTATACACACCCTCTTTCTGGTTCTGATTATGAAAGCTGAGTGTTAAGTTGGTACTATTTTCTTCTCCTTTGATGTGAAACTGGTAGATACCCTTTTTACACCTTTTCCAAACAGCAGTTCAAATATCTCTGAAAGTCCATAATGATTTTATATCCCCTAGTGAACCATGGCACTGTAATTCTTACAGATGGTCTTTCATATCCCCTACCACGTGAGAAAGGTATTAATTAAGAGCTAACTGTATTTATGTGACTTCTAGATAATATTAATCAAGGCAGTATGGATGGATTTGCATAAGCTTCTTTGCTAGTGGTTGTATCCCTAAAGGAGCCACCAGTGTGCCAGAAAATGTTTAATACTTGCGTAGAGGTGAATCTTTCTTTCACAGGAAGTTACAATGTTGCTTTGAGACAGTTTGTACAGGCAGCTGGATCTGCTTTTTCTTCTGGACTCCTTGCCCTCAAATCTGTATTACCAGAATTCCTCAGGGAACAGATAAGATCTGCATTTTGTATGCTTTAAACCTTCAGGGTGATTTGTTACAATTGCAAATATTTCCAGACACCCCTACCCCACTGGTCCACTGCAGGGTGCTTTCTGCTTTTGGGGGGTTAGCTGTAGCACAATCAAGTGAACTACAGTTCTGGTCTACAAATTTAATTTGCTATTGAAAAGGGGGTGCAGGAAGGTATTTTAGCCTCTCCTCTCTCTCCTCATCAGTGCCTCACAAAGAGAGACTCTTATGAATTAATTAATTCCCCAGATGTTATATGGGTGGGGGGCATCTCGGTTGCTAGCTAAGGAGTCTCCAGCTCTCCACACCCTTCAGCTGCAGGCTCTGCTCTCCCCTCCACTCCTCCTCCTCTGCTAAATTCTTTTGACCTCTTTATTTTGTAGTGGTTCCCTGGTTAAATTTAGAACAGAAACTATATCGATTAAAAACATGGTCCCTGCTGCTCTGGGAGTCTAGTCTAGCTCTCCATTTGTCCAGTGGGCGGATAGAGCTGAATGTTAGTACTGGAGAACCTTCCTCCCCCTGTCCCTCACAGCCATCCCCACCTCAAACAAAGCAGCTGCCTGACACTTCTTGGCTTTTGAATCATCTGATGAAGAGGGTCTGTTATGAGACAGAAACTTCAACCTGATCCATCCCAGATGGCCATATTTTCTTTTTTTTTTTCTGTAGTATTTGTTGGTTTTATTTTTTCCCAAAGGATCTCTAGGAGGAGTTCCCAGTTCTTTTTGGTTTTTTGGATTTTTTTTTTTTCCCCTCTCAGGTCAGGGACATTATCTAAGCTTCTTGGTAGCACAAGCATTCTGCACTGCTTGCTGTGACAGACACTGGGATTATTCTGTCCAACCATCTCTTGTTGACTAGCAGGGATGACAATTATTTGTTTAGGGACAAGAGCCAATAAATATTTTACCTTTTTAGTACATACACTGTCTACATTACTTACAGGATTTTCAGAGTTATGTGGTGTTTGCAGGAGTAAAATGAGGTTATATTCAAGAAGGTGATATGCCAGAACCAAAAAAAAAAAATCTTCATAGCAAGATGTAGCTGAACTTTGCCCATTTTGTCCCTCCAAGGCTTATAGATTCTCTCTGTATTACTCACATCTGACCCATAAAGTTTTAATCTCTAAATCAAGGATGTCCTTTTGCAATCAATATTAAAAATTGTTTCAAATTCCAAGGTGTATCTTGGTTATAGAATAAAGCCACCTCACACCACTTATCATTCCTTTTGTATTCTGTTAATATTCTGTACATTCAGCTTCCCTAACTATTCCTCGTCAGGTGCCCCAAGATGTCCTGTCTGCTTGGTTACAAATTGTAGCACTTTGGCCATATTTGCAGAAGGATCAGTCCCCTCCTTTCATAGGGATTCTATAGTTGCCACCTCAGGAATAGTTACAGCCTATCTGTATCCTGTTTGCGATGCCAGATATTATGTGTTTATGGAATCTGATGAACTGTAGCATCCAGGAGATTCCTCCCCTCCTGGTCCTTCAGACAAGAGTCCCCTGGACTGTTTCCAGGTGCACACAGAAGTGAGGATGAGCCTGAACTGCAAATATGCCCTCATGCACACATAGACAGTACACACACAAGCTGTAAACACTAAAACGTGGCAGGACAGTATACAGGCACCCACAAACACAAATGGCATTCACATGGAACAGGAAGACCACAAATGGCCTAATCCTGTTCCTACTCATCGGGTAACCAGGCTTGAAATTTGTGTATCACACATGTGCCCTCACTCAGCTGAAATGCGTACTCACAGTCATGCATCTGTCCAGTCTTTGCCAAACCTTGAGACCTTCCAGTATCCATCTCCAGACCCTGGGCTTTTTAATCCAGCCTCTGGCCAGGATCTTGGGTTTCTGGATTGTGGTTTCCTCCTATTCACAGGCTAGTCCAACATGAAGTTAACTGGAGGAATATACTTGGAAACTATTTAGGAGGAAACAGCGTTTGAAAGAAGATGTGATAGAGTACAGTGACAAGGCAGAGCGGCATACTGACCTGCAGCCTGCTAACATGTGGTTGACCCGTATTATCCCCCACCCCCTTCCTGTTCCACGTGATTGTTCCTCTCCTATCCTCCTTGATCACTCCCTCTCCCCACCTTTGACCCTACCCCTAAACTCCATAAGTTTTTCACATTTTCACAGCCTCCTCTTAAGACGTCTTAATAGTGAGTTTTACCTGGTCCCAAAATTTCCCCCATATCCCATGAGGAGTTTGCTCTTGCCTATGAGATGTGTTCTGGTAACCAATTATAATATTTTTCCTATTTCTTACAAATTTTCTGGTTGAATTTCTGCAAGGTCACACTCCAGTAGTTCCTGCAATGGCCTATCCATCAGTGCCCCAGGAGTTCTGGTCTTTGTTACTCTCTCTTATCTGTAGTTTGTTAGAGTTTGTGTATCTGCACATTTAATTTATCACCTCTTCAGTTCCTAGTCTGTTTTTTATGCTCACTAGCCAGTTAACAGATACCCTTACAATTTCCTATTTGGTTTCAGCTGCAAAATCAAATTAAAAGAAACTTAAGAAAGCATGACACGGTCTTTGTAATGAGGTTTTTTCCATATTCCAGTTGCTGTAGTTGTCACAAAGGTATTGCATGATTTTGAACAGGAAGAAAGGTTTGTGAAAGTACTTGTCAAGATACATCTGTCACATTAAAATTATTTTCTCTGAATTATTTCGTGTAAAGTTGGCTATTAGTTTGCTTTAGTTTATAGGAAGGGTTCTGTTTTTTAGTTCCAGATTTTAATAATGAGCATGATTCATGTCCTTTTGTTTACTTCTGCTTCTTTTACCCCCTTTTGATTCTCTGTACTAGCTTGTTATTACTTTACAAAGAAAATTAAAAGGATCTGTTTTCTTCTGAGCATCTGTTTGTGTCTGCTGCATTTTGCTTTTCCTTAGTGGCTTAATGTTGCTGTGTGGAAGTGGAGGGTTTGAAGCAAAGCTTTCCTATTGTAGGAGGAAAGTTTTATCCAAGGCTCTCTGTATAAAAATAGAGGAGCCCATAGAACAAGTGTTTCATGGTGGAATGAGGATCATGAACAGCTTTTAAATGAAAGACAATCCAGTAATTTAGAGCTATCTTGCTGCTCACATTTTTTAGTCCCAACTTCTTTCTTCTGGTGGCCTTGCTCTGTTATTCCTAACTCTCTTTTCCTTTTACCTATCTTTCTCCTATTTTTCAATCTTAAATTAGAATCCATGGTCTTGGGGGAGGGACTGTCTCTTATCGCCTGTGTATTTTTTTGACAACATAAAAATAGTTTCCTCTTCTAACTGGAGCCTCTGGATAATCTTATAATATACCTAAGAGGAAAAAAGTGCTAACCTTTCAAACTGCAGTTGGGCTTGTGGCCTAGTTCAAGTGATATATTGCCATATTAATTACTTTCAATACTGAATTTTTACATTCATAGTTGTCAGTGATGACAGGCTTCTCCTAAGGGAGGGGGAGCTGAGGGTGATCACAGACCGCGGCACAATACTGTAGCACCTGAGCAAAACTGGCAGGGAGAGGGTCCATCCACAGCCCTGGACAAAGTAAAGTGACAAACCAGGCCCAGGCCCTATCCCGAGAGTCCAGTCAGGAGTAGCAGAAGACGCAGCTGGAGACACTGATGCAGTAAAAGTCAGAGTTCTGTCCAGGAGATGGAGTTTGAGACAAGTAAACCTTCAACACAGCTTGAGAAGGAACTAGGGAGCATAGGCTGACCTTAAGTGGAGCCCCGGGTTTAAATGGAGCCCCTGGGGGAGGGTGTGGGTGGGAGCTAGGTGAGACCACTCAGGGCAATTACAGTTTCAGGGCTCTGACAGCAGTAACTCTTTCAGGTAAAACTGTTTGAGGAAGCATCAGTATTTCCAGTGGTTTTGTGAGAGGAAACAAGCATCAAGATATCAGAGCCCAAACTATTAAGTTTTCTTTGCAGTTTCTTTGATTTAATGAACTTCATCCTGGTGTAGGAGACGCTCAAAAGGCTGGTATCTGCTATAGAAATAAGTTGGAATTGGGTGCTAGTAGTTCTGAAAATTAAATACTAAGACAATCACAACATAAACAATAAGAAACAAATTATTAGTGACTGTTGGGTTTCAATCATAAGCTTTTTTACTTTGTTTCTTTTGACACTGATGAACCATCTCTCTGCACAGACAGCTCCATCTGGGCTCTGCATGAAAGTGTGCTTAAATATGTCCCAATGAGGGTAGTAGCTTTTGAATAATTATCTTGTACAATTTCCTTTTGAATGCCAAAGATAAAGGAAGTCTGTTCCATACGGTTGTTTGCTAGACAGCAGCAGAATGCAGGATCTTTGTGTCAAAGAGTTTCCTAGAGATAAGGAATAGTGACTTGAGGATTAAGTTTTTGTTGTATTGTTATTTTCCCTATTTCTTTTGTCTGTTTTTTTCAAAATATTTTGAGAATGTGAGTACAGGAGTAAGTCTGTTTGACAGAACTTAAAGCCAAATAAGTGGATCCTATATATGGTTTTTGAGGGGTGTTTTCTCTGAAATGTGGAGAATGTGTCTGCATCTGTTACAAATTATTCCTTTCAGTCTTTCTGGTCTGTGGAAGTTTAATTCCATACAGGGGAGGGATTTGAGACTGTGTTTGTTACAAAGCTTGTGGAGTTCACGGAAGAATTAGTTCAAGTCCATTGCAAAAGCTGGGCTATGTTATCTCCTATCTCCCAGCAGCACTTCCTTTGTTAAATCAGAATATTTTAGTAGGGACTTCTGTGGCACTGGTAGTGGAAAAAAGAGAGTCATTTCTGTGTCTGTGCCTTGGAGGTGAAGAGGAATCTAGCATTATATCCAGTAGGCTGACAGAAGCTTGAGATGTTGTTGGGGGACAGAATGAGTACACAAAGCACATGCTTTGCTGCTCTGAACTTGTTTAAATATGGGAAGACGTTCAGGGCTGAGGAAAGGCATTTCTCTGACTTCCAGTTCCTTTTCAAATGTCAGGTTCCTTTTTTATAACTCAAGATTTTTAGGAGTTAGCCAGAAGTAATTTTTGCATTGCCAGAGCTGATTTACGTTAAATCAGCTGGACTGAATGCCCCAGGCATCTCTCACCTCCTGGGCCCATCCAGATGAGTGCTGCACCTTACTTCTGATCTTAGATCCAGCCATTAGTGAAGTTTAGTACAATTTTCAAATAGGTGCTCACACACACACACTGTACAGATGTGACTGGTGCCACACAGATGAACACAGGTAGGACAGTCATAGCTTTACCCACATAAATACAGGCAGTGCAAAGTGCCTGATTCTGTTTCCAGGCGTTGCTGCCTAGAGAAAACCTTAATGGATTCCTCGGGGATATGTCCCCACACTTCTCGTTCTATTTACCAAGTAGTCTGTCTTGGAGTTCACTAGCATATCGCATACACGCACTCTTAGAGAGCAAGATCACAAAGGAAATAGTTAGGAATGGAGTTTAATAAGAATACAGGACTGACTGTGATGGTTAGGCTGCGCCAGACAACTGAATTGACCAATTTCCTGCTTCCATGTAATGGGCCTCTTTTATCCTCCCCTCTCCATTTTCCTGTGTTTGTTCTGCCCTGCTGCACCTTGATCCCTTCCTTTTCCTGCCTTTGGCCTTTCCCTTAAACAGTGCATAATAAGTCCTGTAGAAACCCCCAAATCTCTTGATCAGTCCCAAAGTCTCCCCCAGGGAATGCATCCCAGTGTAAATCCTATACCTCCTTATGCAGTAGTCCCCCTTATTTTGCATAGTGTTCTGGAGAGGGTTTCTTCTGATGAATCCTCTTAGTGGGTGGGTTTCACACTAAGAACAATGCCTTTAATTGTCCATCTTTGATGGTTTTAGGAGTAGCTGATCTGGGTGGATAAGGCTGTCTGTGTTCTCTCCCTTGCCATTCCAGCCTTGTTCCTCTGATCATGATCTGCCTATTTTGAATAGCTATTAGCTAGACATCTTTGCAACTAGTATTTTGCTTGCTTTTTTTTGTCTAAAAAAGGCCAACTTTCTTTCAGTTAAGTATTTAAAGATGTTTAAAAATACCTGTACCAAAGGCTGAGCATGGAAAACATTTACTTGGAAGGTTAGAGTGTAGTGGTAAGTGGTAAAAGATGAATGAAAAAGGAATATATGCCTTAGAACATGCCATACATTGGTAAAATTACCTTGCTAAAAGATTAATTAAAAAGGAATATAGCCTAAGTAACCTTCAGAGTAGTCTGCAATGATCCAGAGCTGTTCATTGTATGATAAAGAACTAAGAATTTTATAGGTACTTAGCACAAACAATGCTTTCTTTGTCATTGGTGTAAATTGAAAACCTTCCATTTCCTTTGTGTATTCATGGGAGTATATTCATTGTCTCCTACAAGACAGTAGGGGGTAATGGACTGGGTTTAGTACCTTTTTTAATGATTTGTGCTGCTCTTGACCTAATCTTCGGTATCTTTTTTCAGCTGCTGGTTCAGTTTGTTCAGAATACTTCTATTCCACTGGGGCAAGGGCTGGTGGAATCGGAACCAAAAGACATCACCTGTCTTTCTCTCCTTCCTGTTCCTGAGACCTCAGAATGCAACAGACTTATGTTGCCAGGTAAAATCTGTGAGGCAGATCTTTGCGAGCATGCCCTTCATACAGCTGTCTTTACTGCACCACTGCAGTCCACTGCCTCTTGCTGATAAGGCATTCCAGGTATGGAGGAACACATTCAGAAGGGTGACTGAAGCTTTTCTCATTTAACAGTGAAGTCTGTTTAGTTAGAAAATTCCTTCCTCCTCCAGTATCTCTCAAGTTCTAATTATTTTCTAGAAAAATAACTTCATAGGTGTCTTTTAGTCATAGTGTATTTATACTTTTATTTGCTCTGGTTTCACTTTATTTCAGTAGATGATGAAAGAGATCTCACTTCTCCAAGTCACACTAGTTCTTCCAAAGATGTTTCTTCATCTGCTGTCTTGAGAAGTCTCCAGGTAAATGTGGGCCCTGATGGAGAGGAAGCAAGGGCACAGAATGTACAGAAACCATCTGAACTTCTGTCAGCTCCAGAGACTTCCAGTTTATTGCAAGACCTCCAGCCCAGTGACAGCACTTCATTTATTCTTCTCAACCTAACAAGAGCAGGTAATTCTTCTCTTTGTCATCTGTCTGGATATGTCTCAGAAGCAGAATGCAGGAGATACAAGTACAACTCTCTCCCCTCTGCTTCTGAAGGGGAAAGATCATTAAATTTGATGCACATTATTGGATATTTCAGGAGCATTTAATCATCAACAGCTTTCTACACTGTGGAAGTCAGTGAAGACTTTTTCAGTGCAGCTATTGTACCTATGCCATGAACACTAGCCTTTGGGAAGAAAAATAAATTTTCCTCTCTTACATTATCCTTCTGTTTCATGAAGTTGTCTTCTTTTCTAGGGCTGGGGTCTCCAGCAGAGCACTTGGTGTTTGTTCAAGATGAAGCGGAAGATTCTGGGAATGACTTTCTCTCTCATGATAGCACAGACAGCAGTACCCCATGGTTCCTGCGAGTGCAAGAACTGGCCCATGATAGTTTAATTGCTGCCACTCGGGCACAGCTCGCTAAGAATGCCAAAGCAGGCAATAATGGTAGGAAATCCCCTGATTCTGACTCAAAAGTTGAATGTTCCATACAGGGCCCCTAGTTTCAGCTTGTTTCTTCCTCTCTTTCACTCTTTCTTGCTTTTCATCTGTTCAGACATGTTCAAATAATCAGGGACAGAATTATACAGAACAATCTATTCTTTCTGACTGCAGCTGCTTGTATTTCAACTTTCATTTTTGCTTTCAATTGTCTATATTTTTTAATGCATACTGTAATTCATACTTTCTTCTTAGCTCCACTGGCTTTGGAGATCGGCTTTCTGGAGAATATATAAATGGAGTTTGTCACATGCTTTGTCAATTATTTTAATAAATATTGCAAACAAGTGCAATATCACTCTTTTTTTAGCTATGGTGTTTTTAAAAGTAGTTATCCTGGCTGATACTTAAAAGTGGTTGGTTGGTATTGATATAGAGACCATTTTTACAATTTTTGATGCATTGGCTTTCTATTCTTCTTGTGATAAGCCTCTTCTGGTAGCAGCTGATCTGATACAGATAGCTTGTTTGGAATAGTTTATGGTCCTGGTAAGGTTTGTAAATCTGTGTCTGATCCTTGTTATGGGCTAGGCAGCAGCATGTAGGACATGGTAAAGTTGGTAGCCAGGCACATACCTGCTTTACAGTTCTGTATCATATATGATGCTGGTTTTATGTACTAAATTTGACACATTATAGTAATCTGTATATTTTTTATATTTTGGTGGGCTTTTTTTCTTTCAGGTGAAAATGTTCATCTTTGCTCAGGAGATGGGCAGCCGAAAGACTCTAGCCCCATTCCTCATTTATCTCGTGTGGAAAGGAAGCTAAAGTGCACAGTTGAGGGCTGCGATCGGACATTTGTGTGGCCAGCTCACTTCAAGTATCATCTGAAAACACACCGGTGAGCAGAATAAAGCTATATGTTGTCATGACTTTGAAAACTCTGCTCTGTATGTGGGATAGCATTAGTTTTTTACATCAACAAACTGTGAAAACTTGATATTACTGTTAGAAATACTAGGCCTGCTGCTTGCTTTAAGTCATTTGTGTTGAAACACTTTGACCAGATTTAGATTATTTTTGCAGGTCCTTGTCAGTGTTCAGTGTAGAATATTTTTGACGCCCATCTACAAGAAGGGCTGGAAGGAGGACCCGGGAAACTACAGGCCTGTCAGTCTGTCCTTGGTGCTGGGGAAGGTTATGGAGCAGATCATCTTGAGTGCCATTGTGCAGCATGTACAGGACAACCAGGTGATCAGGCCCAATCAGTATGGGTTTATGAAAAGCAGGTCCTGCTTGACTGACCTGATCTCCTTCTGTGACAAGGTGACCCCTGTAGTGGATGAGGGAAAGGCTGTGGATGTTGTCTACCTAGACTTCAGTAAAGACTTCGACACTGTTTCCCATGGCATTCTCCTGGAGAAACTGTCTGCTCGTGGCTTGGACAGGGTGTACTCTTTGCTAGGTAGAAACTGCCTGGATGGCCGGGCCCAAAGAGTTGTGGTGAATGGAGTTAAATCCAGTTGGTGGCCAGTGACAAGTGGTGTTCCCCAGGGCTCAGTACTGGGGCCAGTTCTGTTTAGTATCTTTATCAATGATCTGGATGAGGGGATCAAGTGCGCACCCTCAGTAAGTTTGCAGATGACACCAAGTTGGGCAGGTGCGTTGACCTCCTTGAGGAGATCTCTCTCCTTGAGGCTCTACAGAGGGATCTGGACAGGCTGGATCAATGGGCCAAGGCTAGTTGTGTGAGGTTCAACAAGGCTGAGGGCTGGGCCCTGCACTTGGGTCACAACAACCCCCTGCAACGCTACAGGCTTGGGCGAGAGTGGCTGGAAGCTGCCCAGCAGAGAGGGACCTAGGGGTGTTGGTTGACAGCTGGCTGAACATGAGCCAGCAGTGTGCCCAGGTGGCCAAGAAGGCCAACAACATCCTGGCTTGTATCAGAAATAGTGTGACCAGCAGGAGTGGGGGGGAAGTGATTGTGCCCCTGTACCCAGCACTGGTGAGGCTGCACCTGGAATAGTGTGTGCAGTTTTGGGCCCCTCACCACAAGAAGGACATTGAGGTGCTGGAGTGGGTCCAAAGAAGAGCAATGGAACTGCTGAAGGGCCTAGAGCACAGGTCTTGTGAGGAGCAACTGAGGGAATTGGGGTTGTTTAGTTTGGAGAAAAGGTTAGAAAAGTTAAAAAACTACCTGAAAAGAGGTTGTAGTGAGGTGGGTGTGTTGGTCTGTTCTCCCAAGTAACAAGAGACAGGACAAGAGGAAATGGCCTCAAGTTGCACCAGGGGATGTTTAGATTGGATATGAGGAAAATTTCTTCACCAAAAGGATTGTCAAGCATTGGAACAGGCTGCCCAGGGAAGTGGTTGAGTCGCCATCCCTGGAGATATTTATTTAAAAAACGTGTAGATGTGGTGTTTAGGGACATGGTTTAGTGGCGGACTTGGCAGTGCTAGGTTAACAGTTTGACTTGATGATCTTAAAGGTCTTTTCCAACCTAAACAATTCTATGATTCTATATTTGTATTTTAACAAGTGCTCAATAAAAAGCACCACTGTCACTTTTGTGGTATAGTGAACATTAGAACTTGTAGGATGCTATCATATTTTTATATATCCTTGAAAAAAGTTGCTCACTCTAACAAATGACCCTAATCTTTTTTAGCTAAGAAATGAGCAGTAAACTGTAGATGAGAGGCTTTAAAACTGTGAAGGACTCCAATAGACATGAGCCCATCATCTAGCTCTGGGACAAGGCCAGCAGTAATTGCATATGTTATATGTACAGATTTTAGATCCTCCAGTGACTGAAATTCCACAATGTTCCTATATAATCTGTTGCACCGCTTTACTAAATCATTCTGAGTAGGGAATAGGCAAAGTAATATGCTGGACCACCCAGACTCTAGTTCCTTAGGACTGATTTAGATCACTCATTTTGGTTGAGTCTCTCCATTTTGTGATATTATTAGTTTTGGTTTAAATGTTTCTGCTTTTTATTTAATCAAAAAATTAAGCGAGCAGTGTTATGTAAAACTACAACAGTAGTCAAGTGTTCATCATAAATACATTGCAGTAGCTGGTAGTGAAATGGCTGTTTTGTTGCTTTCCAGGAACGACCGCTCTTTCACCTGCCCAGCAGAAGGCTGTGGAAAAAGTTTCTATGTCTTGCAGAGGCTGAAGGTGCACATGAGAACTCACAATGGTGAAAAGCCCTTTGTGTGCACAGAGCTGGGCTGTGGGAAACAGTTCACGACAGCTGGAAATCTGAAGAACCACCTACGAATTCACACTGGTGTGTTTTAGACCTCACCTATTTATGGTCTGCAGAGGTGGGGTCTTTACTGAGGAATACACCACTTCCTCCTCTGTCCTCTAACTTCTGAGAATGTTATTCCTGCCCTTCATTAATGTCCCTTTTTTATTAAGTCACATTGATCTATAAGTCAAATTAATCAACTGCTTATCGCCTTTACTATCCTGTATAATTTCACACAGGTTTAACCCTTCAAATACTATATGATGATGCTGTCCTCTGCTCAGACCTGTGCTCTGAAGATTCCCTCCCCCCCTCAAGCTGTTTGATGAAGGGAGGGTTGATGAAGGAAGGCATGTGTTGTTTTGGGGAGAAACTAGACTTTTCCCAAGGGAAGAGTTAGTCAGCATGACTGCTGCAATTGTTTTTTATAAAGAAGCTATTTTAAATTCCTGAAAGGCACAATAGCTTAGATATTTCTCCAGTGTGGAGTCCTGGTGGACACAATTGTAGCTGTACTGACATCTGGCTGAACCTGACTAGTTTATGTTACCCATGCTGCCTGTAGAATGACTACATTTGGGAAATTTAGGGAAATGAGGAATACGGTGGAATGAATAGCAAAAATATAGTAGCAAAGTCCAATAGAAAAAGGCAATAATTAGAATACAGCATTTTGGCATGACATCTGCTCTCTTTGTGCTAATGCTAAATTGGGATGTTACCATATACTGGAGCTTATGTACGCTTAACTCATGCTCAGCTTTTTATATTAAATAAAACAAGAGTCTTTATTTCGTAGTGCTGTATTTTATAGATGGTTTATTTATGCTGTCTCCTCTGGGGAATTTGATCCCACCTTGTTAATATTTTTAGAAGTTGGTGTACCAGCCAAAGTCTTGACAACATAAGTTGCTGTATGTGTTTTTATCCTAGAAAGCTGCTTGAGAGAGGCACACAAGTTACTGCTGAAATGATCAGCAATTTAATAGTCAGCAAAGTTCATAGTGAATATTCTGGTAGTTTTGGTTGGTTGGTTTTTTAAGCCTCAGGGTTATCACACCACTTAAACAAATGGCCCAGTTCAAGCCTCTCAGAATATTGTTAGAGATTCCCTGATGGCCTAGGAAAGTAGCATTGCATTACAGTTGGTTAACATTCCAAAATAACCTTGACAACTGTGAGAGCACAAGGCCTCTCTAGTAAAATGAAATTGCAGATTATGTGGGCTGCCAGCAGCTGTTTATGTCTTCTGCCTTACTTAAACATTACCATGTGGTATGTAGTTTGCAGATACACATGGAAGAAGGTTGCTATTTTAAAGAATTTGTAGTCTAGCTAGAACATACAGTTTGGGGGCAGATGTTGGGATGTAGTTAGAGATTATATGTACCAATAATAAAATCTTGAATGTATAGTAACAGCAGACACATTTTTTGAAGTTTTCTTTTGCACTTAAAGCTCCCGGCCAAGGTGCAGATAAAGTTAATAGGCCCAGCTGACACATGCACAATCCTCCATGACAGAGTGAGTGTTCTGCAACCAACATAGTAGCTTCTGGAGGAGTAAATAATAACTTTCTTAACTGCAAATCGATAATGTGCAATTAAGAGTTTAATCAGGCCAAAGGTGTTACAAAACTGCAGGTGTAAATAGACTGAGGGCTTCTTATAGATGGAACTGTGTGCTGTTATTTTTGTCAATGGTAGTTTTTCCTCTTTCTTTTGAAGTTTTAATTATTTATAACAAGCCAGAATGTACAATCAGTGTTTGAGAATCTGCTACATATTTCAGCTTTTTAACACCAATCAGGACATGCTGTGATGAGCCTTTTTGCTCAGATCTGTTGAATAAGTAGATAAGAAGCTGAGAAATTAACTGTAGGGAGAGGACTTCTAAACGCAAAATCACAGTAGAAACAACTTTTTAAAAAGTTTACTCTGAAAGAACTATGTATATGTTAGACAATAAAATAGCTAAAATAGCTTGCTTAATCTCCTGTGGACTTGCTGTTACTCTGATACAGTAGTCTAGGTAAAGACCTGAAATCATAGTGTTAAACATAGTATATTGAGTTCTTTAGTGGATGTTGCAGGCAAAAGTTACCTCTAGGTAACTTCTAAAGCTTTATTAAGAGGGTGTTCAGAACAGATTATATTGCATTGCATTAGTGTAGTCACCTCTCAATTTATCATAATTTAGACAAATAGAAAAACAGTTGCGGAGATAAATAAAAATAACAAATTTCAGCCTATGAGAACAAATTGTGCTTTGAATTATTGTTCCTCCAGACATAAATATAAATGTCTGACACACCTCTCACAGGGTTTTGCCAACTTCAACCTTATCTGAAATAAAGTATAGAATCTGATTTGAAGGGAAATACAGTTAATAGGATTTTTGGCACTGAGAGGCAGAAAGGGAAGAGGATCCTGGGAGAGTGTGAAGCAGAGAGCTGGTTGTTAAGAACGGCATATAAAAGAGATATCATAGTCCAGGCACTTTTATGTTACTCATTTGGTGTTTATATACTTGGAAGATCTATTTAGAAACAGTAGACCCTGACTTTGCTTTCAGTGAATGATGATGTAAGAATATTTTAGAAAGAATGACAGTATTTCCTCTTGAAAGCTGATGAAGAGAATGCTTTAAAAGCCTTAGGAAGCATATGTGTAATTTCCATTTAATTTTGTTGCATGTAAGGCCAAAAGGGAGAATGGGGTAGAGATCTCCAGGCAGTTCTCAGGGACTTGGACAATCAGATCAAGTTGCAATCCCAAAATCTAAGAACTTACTTTTCCCTTGTAGGGGAAAAACCCTTTCTGTGCGAGGCACAGGGATGTGGTCGCTCCTTTGCTGAATACTCCAGCCTTCGGAAACATTTGGTTGTCCACTCAGGTAAGAGTCTTTGTCTGACATTCTGTGACCTATCTGAGGAAGGATCTTTATTGTAGGACTTTGATTTTATTTCCTTAAGAAAGATCCCCTGGTTTCTACAGGAATTCTGGTTATAGTTTTTCACAACTTCCTTTGTGTTGCCTGTAGCATGTACACTTTAATCTTTTCTGTTGTTTCTGTTTCTAAGTTTTATGTTTCTAAATTCAAATTACAGTTTTTAAATTTATTTTTTAAATTGTTTCTAAAATGTCATGAAGTTGGATATGTTTCATATCTGCCATTGTCTTATTTAAAAGAGAGAATCTAGCACCTCTATGTATTAATCAAAGCTGTGCAAATCTGAAATCCCTCATGAGTGGATTTCTGCCGTAGGTAGGGTTTTCCTTCTTAATAGTACGTACTTGTAATTGGATGAAGTATTAGATGGAAATATATTTCACAAGTGTTTCAAAGCTCCTGACTTCTGTTTTGATTGATCTATCTTAAATATCATCAGCACATGATGAATATGGCATGTTTGGGGAAGGGGAGATTTTATTGGGGTATTAACTTTTGGGACTACTTGAGTTCTCCATGCTTTTTCTTTCCTGTCTCCTTGGCTTCCATGCTATTGAGCTCACACCTATGGACATCATGCTTGTTATAGTGTGAAAATAATAGACTGCTCAGTAGAATGGAAATCCTTTCACAGTGACAGGTCATCATTCAGTCTCTGCTCAGTAATGTAAACCAGATGCTACAATTGGTTCTGTGATGGCAGGAGATAGCTTCCTTGCCTCTGCTTCCTTGCTTTTGGCCATTTTATTCTAAGCATGGGACATCAAATATTTCCATGTCACTGAGTAAGAGATTCTGAATAACTTGTTCCCTCTCATAAATCAGACTTGAAGACTTTATGTTAATCTTTATATTTGAGTTTTCCAACAGCTGGCAATACTGATATCTAAAACTCTTCTGTTCTGGAAACTTGCTGCTCTCCATCTCTCTCTCTCTCTTTTTTTTTTTTTCTTCACTGGTAATCAGCACCAGTGATGTCAACAGCCATTTCAAAGCAGTTAGTTACTGGCTTCTTAGTTTAAGAGGTCTTTATTCCCATTTGGTAATTCTTGGGATATTTTTTCTGTCTTTTACTCCAAGGAGTGAAGCCCCATCAGTGCCAAATTTGTGGGAAGACATTTTCCCAGAGTGGTAGCAGAAATGTGCATATGAAGAAACACCACTCCCGAATTGGAACAGCTGTCAGCAGAGAGCGAGAAGAGCCAGGTAAGGAAGAGAGGGCACTCTGTGTGGGGAAAAAGTGCACGAAAGAATTAGTGGATGGTAGAAGAGAAGGGAAGATGTTTGTCCTGAAAATACAAGACTACAAGCCAGTAAGGAATAAAAGAGAGTTCCTTTTGGAGATGAGGATGGATTGCTCACCTTCCCCTTTTCTAGGATAGAAGACAAAGGTGTATTTCTTATATTGTGGTCAAAGGACAGATAGGTTTATTGTTTTCAAAATCAACATGAATCTAGTATCTTTTTTTACATGGAATTTGTGCCCTTTGTTATGTATTCTTGTAAGCAGCCTGCTTTTTATGCAATGTGAATTATTTAAAGAGAAAGCCAAGCCTGCATGAGATCCCACCATTCTAAACAATATAGGAGTAACCATCCATTGGAGCACTGGATGCCCAAAGAGTAGGAACAGATAAAGCAGGTGTCTAGGGAAAAAGTCTGTGTGACTTGAAGGGTGGCATCTTATATTAGAGTATCAATAAATTGTGAGAATTTTGTTTTACCCTTTTTTTCCACACTAGAGTCACTGATGGGCAGCAGTTTGCTGGAAGAATCTACGGTGCATAGTAAGAATCTCATCTCCATGAACTCTCAGCCCAGCCTTGGTGTTGAGTCTCTGCACCTGCCAGACACTGAGTCTATTATTGGAGTAGAGGAGGGCGAGACCAGCTGCTCTTTTTTCCGCCCTCTTATATGTGGTGACTGAAGTGGGATTGATCTCCAAGAGGCTCACCATGTTGCAGTGGGACAAGTGAACGTTGCTTTAACTGTGCACAGAGCGGGTGGGTAGATGGAGAATGAATAATAAAACCGGAGTTGGAGAAGACCTATTGGACCAAGTTTCTCTCTTGCAGAGCTTAAAAGGTGAAGTCTGCTGCTTAGGTGTCATTTAGCCCATGTCATGGATTGCCATTTCAAAACTGTTTATGCAGTCCATTCTCCTAAAGCCTAACACCCTGGTTTTGCTGGAGCACCTGAGATCCCCAGTTAAGGACCAGGACCTCATTGTGCTAGGCACTGTACAAACACAGTATCTTGACCAACAGGCCTTCCTTCCATCCTTCACCTTCAGAGATGATATTCTAATGCATCTCACTGTCAGAAGCTGACTTACTATCTGAAATAAATGTACTACTTGGTATCATTTAATTACATTTGCTGTGTTACTTTCCTGCTTTCCCCAGTCACTTTTTCCTCCAAAATTCGGTATATCAAGCTCTTTAAAATGAGTCTACCAAGTAGATGTTTTGAATTTTTGTTAACTTAAAGACCTTCGGAATTGGCATTATTAAGAATGCAGAGTTTTGCTAAGATACTATGGGTTTATAATAGCTCCTATGAAAAGAGAAGGCTTTGAGTTTATATTGCTACCTAGCTGAACGTAAAGGTAGTGCTGCTGTCGGTAAAGGTATTATAATTTGAAGGTTGTTGCAAAAGTTCCACCAGGGACCTGAGAATCAGGATCTGATGTGGTTTGGCTACCATCTCATCAGTTGATGGGAGACGTTCCAGTGAGATGTCTTCTTTATTACAGTATTTTTATAGGTTAGCTGAACAGGCTGTAATTCTTTTAACTACAAATAACGAAATATTTTCATAAAATGCAAAAATCCAGAGCAAAAGTTGGAATTCTTTATTTCCATACCATTTCTGAGATATATTAAGAGATTGCAAATCTTTTTTAGCATTACAGAAATGTAATCCTACTATCAGAACAACACTTTGTTTAGCAAGAAAGGTGCTAGTGAATCTCAGTTACTTAGTTTGGTGTTTTTATTTTCATCACCATTTCAGCAATTTGTTTAGAGACCAACACTGAGACTTGAATTTATCTATTAGTGTATTCATGCATGTCACCTTAATATTTGTTAAAGGGATATGGCATAATACCATATATTCATTTAAGGTCAAGACTTTGTTCCTCCTTTCTTAAGGTTTTCCTGTGCACTTCACATACTTGGAAATTTATTTTTCCAGAATCATCAAGAAATTATTATGGGAATTAGCAATTAATTTTAGTAAATACCCCTGAAAACATATGTATTAAAATTTCACTCCCAGTGCTCTGGATGTAGCCATACAAGCCCAATGGCTTTAGACCACAGACTTGGGAGCATGGAAGAAATTTTCTTTCCTTCTTCTTTCAATGTGACAAGGCATGGTGGCAATATGATTACATCACTGCTCTTTTCCAAGGGATACGGGGGAAGAACAGTCTTTGCATGTCCTGCACAATTAAACCTACGTAGATACTGGTACACTGGTACCAGCTTTCCTTGAACCCTCTCAGGTACTGAAGCCTCTTCTCAGCGTGGAGATTGAGTCAGTAGGGAGGACTGCTGCAACCCGATGCATTCAGCTGGGTACCATCTCTGTGGAAGTGTAACATAGCAGCCTGAAACTCTGGGGCCATAAATTCTTGGATCTAGTACTTTGTTATGATTAAAAATGTCATTATCTCAGTTTTATATCTCTGTCTAGTGTGGTAGCTCTCACAGCTACTGTATTTCCAATTTGATTATGAGGTTTTGTTTTTATAGTGCCAAGGAGAAATGGATTGAGGTGACAAAGACGAAGAGAGACACAGCTTCTATTTAAAGAGTGAGGAAAAGATGACTCGTAAAGAAATGGGACAACACAGAAACGTGATAGCCATTTAAAAATCTTTTAATCTCAAAGTGCTTTGATTTCATAATTCTCAGAAAACATTCCAGGTGGTAAGGGTTTTTATTTTTGAGATCGTTATTACTGTCAGGTAAAGAAAGACCACTAATATGTGAACTATACCATTCAAGATGCACTAGGCATTTGAGTGCAACATGCTGATAGGTAATAGCTAATCTTTCTTCCATCAGAGTCCATATTTGATTTCACAGTAATAGCAGAATTAGGACAACAGCAATCCATAGTGATGCACTGTTTAATTACAACCTTCTTCATAATTTTTGGTTGTTTTTCAGGCCAAATGAATGACCTAAACTGGTAAGATATTAAAACAGTTTTAAATAATGAAATATGGGAGATTCTTTATATAAGCTATTGCTTCTTCCTAATGGGAGGAAGGAACAGAGCTGGTAATGAGTGAATGAGGAGTTAACACCAGAGAATTACTTCTCTGTGAGTCTTCTCCCAAGGCAGGTCAAATCCTGCTATTTGTTTGTTTTTTTTTTTAATACCTTGTTTAAAAGCGTTCTGCCACATACATGTGTAAACCAAGGTTTAGCACACTGAAAGGCGTCCTCCCCTTTCTGTGTGTTTCTGTGGCATGAACACAAGGAGCTGCTGACACTAGAGGATGCACCTCTTTAATCTCTCATATCTACTTTTATCCAACAATAGTGCTTCAACCTTTTTTAACTTGTTTTGTTGCCTGTTAAAGAAAGGGAAATTGCTCACACAAGGGACACTTGTGAAGACTAGGGGAGGCTGCAGGGTTTGCTGGGTTGGACAAGACATGCTCTAAAGAACAGTTGGTCTTTTTTTCCAAGTTCTCACATCTCACTTACCCCAGAACAATTCTTAAGTGTCAGCCTAAACCATAAAGTTCCTGAGGATTAACCTGGAGAATCTTGAATTTAAAAAAATCAAGAGATGATTGATGGATTCTTCTGCTAGATTTTATGTTGCCATTTCATTTGCGCTCTGTTCCTTGTGAGGTTCTCCTTCCTGTACAGTACAGTCGTCCTTTTCACCTTGAGGCTTGGGCACTCTGCAGAAAGAGTGATTGTCTAAAACCGGAAGTGGTTTGCAGTGCTTACTTGCTGCTTTGCCCCATGCATAAGAAATAGAGTGCAGGCATAGGAGTTAAGATAGAGAAGCCATGATGCTTAATAAGAGGAATGAAGTTCGCCTACACTAGATGATACAAACTGGAACACTTCAAAGAACAAGGAAAATATGTTTGACTAAAGGCAAAAGAGCTGTATTGCATTGTTTTTATTACCTGTGAACATCAGATTCTTCTTCCAGCAAGCCAGTGGCATCTTTCCCTTTTTTCCTTACAAATTCTTCGCTTAGACCAACCTGCTGGAGGGTGTGTCTGTAGCGACGCTCTGCTCCTTGACGAGCATCACGCTATGAAATGGAAACTTTAACAGTAAGCATGTAGAACTGGCGCTTCCCCTTAGCCATCAAGTTGTTTTAAAAGTTCATGGCTGACACTCCAGATGAGGAGGACAGCAAAGCCCCCATACAAAATTTTTGTCAACCATACAATACAGTACCAAAACTGAATACTAGGACAATGTCTCATGTCTCACATTTCTCAAAGCCAAAGCTCACCTTTTCTTTTTTGCGTCTGTTTTTTTTTTTCCCATTCTATTGCTTCTACAGCATTCCAGTCCTAACAGACTAGCATACTTCTGTTTGAGTCCTGGCTTTGACACTCAAATTGAAAATATGTGCAAAAAAGGGTTGTGAGAAATTCTGGAAGCATGTTTGCTTGTAATTGGTAAGCACTAATGACAGTGGAGTTCAATAAATGGAGAGCACCTGTGAAATAGCTTCATATCAGCTCATTGTCATGAAACTGAAAACCAAGAATCCTGGATCCTATATCCTCACCACGTCCAAGTAAACCTTGAAAATTAATGTAGTCTGAGATTATGGTTTTCCAGAGGGACGGGCCCGTTCCTAAAGATTGTGTTCTATATGGAAGGATGGAAATCTTGTCTCAACATGAGTGAATGCTATGGATACTGGTGAATTCTTATCAACCTGGCAAACAGAAAAGTTACCAATATTTATCATACAAATGTGCTTTCTGCCTCCATTAACCACTCATCTGAACAAAAAGTCTGACCCAGGAGGGTAATTTCTATTAAGAAATTTTAAATCAGCAGATTGTCAATGTATTGTCACCATGTCTCTAACCAGATATCACCCCTGCAAGGAGACAGGAATGAAAGAGAAAACCCGGGGAAAAAGATATTTTATAGAGAGTAAAGATTGTATCTACACATTGAGTGCAATACAGATTTGCAGATTGTACTGTGTGATGGATGAGCTCTGCTGAATGCAACCCCAGAGAGCAGAGCCAGCAGGTGATATAAGCAATATAACTGTCATTGATGTTCTTCTAGTAGCACCAGAGGTACAAAGAAAAAGTTCTCAAGTGGAAAAGATTTTAAGAATAAAAGTTTAAAATTTCTAGGCAGAAGGCTATGGTAATCAGGTGCAGAATAGGTATCAATATAATTTCTGGTTTGATAAGGCCTTGATTTTCATCAGGCCATGTATTTTGATTGCAATATATACTAGGGACTGGAAAGCTCTGCAACCAAGAAATAAGTCTGAGTGCTTTTTCAAGTGGTGGGAAGGAATTTAAATTACACTTGGGTACCCCTTCCATGGGTTGTTTTGAGTGTAGTCAAGAGACTACACAACTATTTGCACCTTCTTATCCATGAATTAACCTGAGACTAGATTTCTTAATGCCTGTCTTAAATGACAGACAATGCGTCCTGTCACCCAGAAACACTCTGGAACTTTGACCAGTTACCTTGGTGACCTGTTCAAAGAGGTAGGGTCTGCTCTTGACTCGCAGCTGCATTTCTTCAAGCTCCTTTCTGTATTCATTTGTTCTCTCTCTCATATTTTGCCTGAAATGGAAAAGTTGCCTGTCTAATACAGGTTCCTTCTGACTGTAGCTGATCAGGAATGAGGAATTCTCAATAACCGTTTGTCCTTTAAATAGCTCTGGTAATTCTCTTGATTCTGAATGCTGAGCAAAAAAAAAATCCTGTTGCTGGCAAGTTATAGACCCATTGGTAAAGCTTTACTACTAGACTGTAAACCTGTGTTCACATTTTTAGGAAACCTTGTCTTATGTATGCTTTACTAAATTATACATTTCAGTTGGCTTCTTTGTACAAATTAGTTTCTACAAATGTTAATCTAAAGGAAACTCTTCTGTATGGAAGGAGTAGTGTGTAATTCGTCAGGTAATCCAAGTGAATGTGGAATGGGTATGACAGCCAAAAAAGTTACGTTAGGAATGCTCTTAGACCCAGTTCTTCCTAAAGATTTATCTGGCAATCCCAAGTTAGCAGAGAAAACAGTTATTTCTGTGTAGAATAGGATACTGACCAGTTCTGTTTCAACTTCTCCTTGTGTGATTCCTCCAGACTTTTGTGTGGATCCAGGGCTTTTGCCC